TCCAATTCCTGGGCTCAAGCGAGTCTCCTGCCTCTGCCTCCCAAGTAGCTGGGACCACAGGTGCCCTCCACAACTCCTGGCTATTTTTTGGTTGCAGCCGTTATTGTTGTTTGACGGGCCTGGGTGGATTCAAACCCACTACCTTAGGTGTATGTGGCTGGCCCCTTAGCCACTTGAGCCACAGGCACCGAGCCTTCACATTCCTTTTTAACGCTCCTTATGACCCTTTGCATTTGTCAGCTAAGGAGCCCCCAGAGCTGTGAGACAGAGCCCTGGGTACCTGTACGTTCTGGGTGGTGACTGGATACAGTCCTCCCATGCTGAGCTGGTGACAGCCTCTGTCTCCTTGACCCCAGACATCTGTGCTTTTTGCCACAAGACGGTGTCCCCCCGAGAGCTGGCTGTGGAAGCCATGAAGAGGCAGTACCATGCCCAGTGCTTCACCTGCCGCTCGTGCCGCCGCCAGCTGGCCGGGCAGAGCTTCTACCAGAAGGACGGACGGCCCCTCTGTGAAAGCTGCTACCAGGTAAGCCCCCTCAGTGGGGCACTGAGCCAGACACCGGGAAGACGTGATGTCATTTCATTGCCCAAGACAGTCCTGGGAGGTAGGTACTATGGGCCTATTGCACAGACAAGGAGACTGAGGCCCTGAAAGGAGAAGGAGCTCTGCAGAGGTGCTGTGAGAAGTAACCGCAGAGGGCCAGGCCAGGTGGGTCCCACCTATATTCCCAGCACTCTGGGAGGCCGAGGCAGGTGGGTCACTTGAGCTCAGGAGTTTAAGACCAGCTTCAACAAGGGTGAGACCCCATCTCTAAAAGACAGATGTTGTGGCGGGCACCTATAGTCCCAGCTACTCTGGGGGCTGAGGCAAGGAGATCCCTTGAACCCAAGAGTTTGAGGTTGCTATGAGCTATGACGCCGTGGCACTCTACCCAGGGCGACAAAGTGAGACCTTGTCTTTAAAAACAAAAATTAGCACAGCATTGGTGGCTTCCAACAACACACATTTAGTCTCTCCCAGTACTGGACGTCAGAAGTCCAAATCTGTTTCACCAGGCCAGAAGGGAGGTGCCGTCCTCCCCCTGGAGGCTCCAGGGAGAATCTGGTTCCTTCCCTTTTCCAGGCCCCTTGCTCCATCGCCAAAGCCAGCAGTGCAGCCTTAGCTACATTGCTGCCTCTGTGTCATGTCTCCCGCTGCCTTCCCCTTATAAGGACACTTGTGGTAGCATTTAGGACACCACTGCCACCACCACCACCCCACCACCCCCCAGCTAATCCAGGATAATCCCTCCACCTCAAGGTCCTTACCTTAATCCCACCTGCAGAGTCCATTTTGCCATACAAGGTAACATTCGTAGGTTCCAGAGAGTAGGACCTGGGTATCTTTGGGAATATCAGTTAGCTGCCTCACACTCTAGAAGGCTGAGGAGCTGGGGTTCTGTCACAGACATGTCTGGTAGTGGAACCTGCCTATGGTCTTGTCACTCTATCACCCAGAGCCACAAGGTTTCTATGTCTAGCTTCTGAGTATAGCCAGCTAGAAGACCGTCTTGGTTTGGGGTGGGCATGTCCGTGGGATGGCACTGGGAGTGGCCTTCTGTCCCAGGGCACCCTGGAGAAGTGCGGCAAGTGTGGCAAGGTGGTCCAGGAGCACATCATCAGGGCCCTGGGCCGGGCTTTCCACCCTCCCTGCTTCACATGTGTGGCCTGTACCCGCTGCATCGGGGACGAGAGCTTTGCCCTGGACAGCCAGAATGAGGTGTACTGCCTGGACGACTTCTACAGGTGGGAAGGGGCCCGTGCATGGGGAGGACAGGGTGGGACCGGGGCAGGATGGAGGGCGCAAGCCCTGAGTGCTGGGCTGGAGCTCCCTGTTTGCTGGTTTGGTATAAAGGATACAGCCTTGTAGCAGAGATGTGTGGGACGAGATCTGGGGGCAGCTTCAGTACCCTCTCCAGGCTCCATACCCTCAAGGAACCCCCACATCCTCAGCCACCTGGAAGCTCTCTGAGCCCTGTCCCTTCGGCCCTCAACAGAGATGTTATTAGACAGGCATAACTAACTCCCTGTAGAAATGTGATTGGACAAAGAGGCTGTGATCTAACACTAATAGACTGGGAGGAAAAACCCAGGCAGGCCCTTGCGTATGAACTCTGCTTGGCCTCTACGTGCAGTAATGCTCTCTCCCGGCTGTGGGGCAGGACCCTTTCTGGAATGAGGAACTTAGGACCTACAATCAGATAATTTCTTTTTCTTTCTTTTCTTTTTTTTTTTTGCAGTTTTTTTTCTTTGGCAGGGGCTGGGTTTGAACCCACCACCTCCGGCATACGGGGCCGGCGCCCTATTCCTTTGAGCCACAGGCGCTGCCCTCAGATAATTTCTTTATGGCCAGCTTCAAGATAGAGGCAGGAGAAGACTTTTGCCTTGGGGAAAAGAAGGAATAGCTGAAAGGAGAGCCAGAGAAGGGCAGAGAGAGAGAGATACTATTCCTGATGCCTAAAGCGCCCATATTATAACAAGGGCGATGGGAGTTGTAAGCCAGGAACCAATATATAACATAATATCACAGGCAGGTTTGACCACAGCTGGTGTTGAAGCTCACGGTAAGCGTGCAAACGCCCAAGGACCTGGCTCTGGGGCCTTCCTTTGGAGCTGGGCAAAGCGGTGGGAACACACAGGTATCTGAGACTCAGTCCTTGCCTGCGAGTTGCTCACTGCCCAAGGGGACAGACAGAAGTGTCTATTAAAAAAGAAAGGAAAAAATAACTAAAAAGGGCCTGGGCGGGTGCAGTGGCTCACACTTGTAATTGTAGCATTCGGGGAGGCTGAGGCAAGTGGATCCCTCGAGCTCAAGAGTTTAAGACCAGCCTGAGCAAGAAAGAGGGAGACCTGGCTCGACACCCATGGCACAGTGGTTATGGCGCCAGCCACATACACCAAGGGTGGTGGGTTCGAACCCAGCCCAGGCTAGCTAAACAACAATGACAACTGCAAACAAAAAATAGCCAGGCAGCGCAGCGCCTGTGGCTCAGTGGGTAGGGCGCTGGCCCCATATGGCAAGGGTGGTGGGTTCAAATCCAGCCCCAGCCAAACTGCAACAAAAAATAGCTGGGCGTTGTGGTAGGTGCCTGTAGTCCCAGCTACTCAGGAGACTGAATTAGGGAGGAATATTGCTTGAATCTAGGTTGCTGTGAGCTAGGCTGATGCTATGATATTCTAGCCTGGGCAACAGAGTGAGACTCCATCTCCAGGCTCGGCGCCTATAGCTCAACTGGCTAAGGCGCCAGCCACGTACACCTAAGGTGGTGGGTTCGAATCCCCAGCCCGGACCCGCCAAACAACAATGACGGCTGCAACCAAAAAATAGCCGGGCGTTGTGGCGGGCGCCTGTGGTCCCAGCCACTTGGGAGGCGGAGGCAGGAGACTCGCTTGAGCCCAGGAGTTGGAGGTTGCTGTGAGCTGTAATGCCACGGCACTCTACCCAGGGGGACAGCTTGAGGCTCTGTCTCAAAAAAAAAAAAAAAAAAAGAGACTCCATCTCCAAAAATAAGAAACTAAAATGGAAAAAACCCCAGTGCCTTATAATACAAGACAAACAAGATGGGTCCCAGCCCCACCAAATGCAGTTCTCAATCCAGGCATTCTCCAGCCACCCTGAGCACTGGGTCTCATTACATAGCTCCCTCTACCTGCTCTTGCCCAAAAGAAGTAGACATTTGGGGCTGTAGCTCCAGGTGCAGCCACATGGCATTGGGTCTCAAATCGCTTGGGAGGTGAACTCCAGCCAGCCCAGTTCTTTTTTTTTTTTTTTTTTCTTTGCGACAGAGTTTCACTCTGTTGCCCAGGCTAGAGTGTCATAGTGTCATAGCTCATAGCAAACCCAAACTCCTGGACTCAAGCTATGCTTTGGCCTTAGCCTCCCGAGTAGCTGGGATTACAGGTATACACCACCATGCCTGGCTAATTTTTCTATTTTTAGTAGAGATGGGGGGTCTCCCTCCTGCTCTGGCTGGTCTTGAACTCCTGGGCTCAAACAACTCACCGCCTTAACCTCCCAGGTGCTAGGGTTATAGGCGGGAACCACCGTGCCCGGCCCAGCCCCAGTTCTGACAGCTAAGTTCTATGTTCATTGCGTGGTTTCCTTTCCCTCCAGGAAATTCGCCCCCATGTGTAGCATCTGTGAGAATCCCATCATTCCCCGGGATGGGAAAGATGCCTTCAAAATTGAGTGCATGGGAAGAAACTTCCATGAGAATTGCTACAGGTGTGAGGTGAGTGGAGCAGGTGACTTAATGACATTCCATCACTGCTCAAGCCCTGCTGGGAGCCTGCCAGGCTGGGTCCTGGAACATGGGAACAAATCGGGGTGGGAGTCCTGCTCTCAAATTGCTGTTTGGAGCAGAGCAAATAAGTGGAAATAATTACAAATATAGTCTATTAATCAGAATTTCTTAGGTCAATGATAGAATCCAAAGTCAGATTGCTTCCTGTAAGAAAAGGAACCTGTGGGCGGTGCCTGTGGTTCAAAGGAGTAAGGCACCGGCCCCATAAGCCAGAGGTGGTGGGTTCAAACCCAGCCCTGGCCAAAAGCCGCAAAAAAGAAAAAAGAAAAAAGAAAAGGAACCTGTTAGCCCCAGGTGGTGAGATCACTGATATCAGATGATGGCGGGAGGGCTCCCTGCATCTCTTAGTTCTGCCATTTTGGTGTATTTGGCTCATTTTTTCTTCCCCAGGCCTGGGATCCTCTGTGAGGGGGACACAGTCCATGGTGACGATGGCCCAGGTTCATATCTCCCAATGTAGAAACCCTCAAGGAAAGATGGAAGGGCAGCCAGTCCTGGGAAGGCCCCTGCTCAGCCCAGCCTGGGTCACTTGTCCATTCTGGGCCAAGCACTGTGGGGGGTGGGGGGCTGCCCGGTGCTGAGACCGATGACCTCTGGGGCAGGGAGGCAGACTCATATGAGACAGAGAGGGGTTGCTACAACCATAGGAAGGGAGTAAGGGATGCTGGGCAGACACCAGCACGTAGTCCTTCCCAGGGCTGGGAAAGAGCAGGTGTAAATCAGCTCTGGGGCTAAGAAGCCAGTGATGGAGTCTAACCAGGGTGGCAGAATCAAAGGCACTCTTGTCATGGAGGAGATGTTTAACTCGGTCTCGCAGGATGAGTAGGAGCTTGCCAGGTACTCAGAGAAGGGAAGGGACCTCCGGAAAGGGGGAAGGGCCCATAAAAATACCCTATAGCATGAGGAAGCCTGAAAAATCAGAGGAAGTGGGAGTTTCTAGATGTGTGTGGAGTGCAAAGGGTTGGAGGGTGTGGTTAGCGATGAGGCCAGAGAGAAGGAAAGGGCTTGGGGTTCCAGGCTGAGGGGTCTGGAATTCAAGGCTGTAGGGAGCAGGGAGGCCTGAGCTGGGCAGGCTGGTTAGAAGCTTCATGAGTCCCAGGGAGTTGTCCCACAGGGCTTCCTTTTTGAGCAAGGAGCCCTGTTTCCTTTTTGAGCAAGGAGTCCTGTTTTCATTTTGCCCTGTACTCTGCAAATTATGTAGCCAGTCCTGCTGGGGAGGCTCCGGAGATCCTCTCCCACCCCTTCTGCTACCAACTCCATGTCACTCAAGTTTCTGCCTGCTCTGGTGATGGTGCCAAGGTGGCAGCTTTTGTGTCAGGTCACCTAAAGTCAAGAGCAAATCTCTTAATGAGACACTGTCTCTAAAAAAAAAAAATGGGGAAAAGGAGGCTCAGAAAGGTGGTTCCAGCCTCTATGTTTCTGGACCTAGTCCAGCCAGCTCACAATTCCTTTATATACTTTGTGAGACTCAGCTGCAGCGAGGGGTTTTCCCTACTTGATTCTTTTTTTTTTTAAGAGACAGTTCCATTTTGTTGCCTTTGGTAGAGTGCTGTGCTGTCACAGCTCACAGCAACCTCCAACTCTTGGGCTTAGGCGATTCTCTTGCCTCAGCCTCCCGAGTAGCCGGGACCACAGGCGCCCACCACAACACCCAGCTATTTTTTGGTTGCAATTTGGCCAGGGCCTGGTTTGAACCTGCCAGCCTCGGTACATGGGGCTGGCGCCCTACTCACTGAGCCACAGGCACCACCCTGTACTTGGTTCTAATTTAGGAGCAGTCACATGTGCCCCTTTGGAACTTTGGCCTTGTCACTTCTGGTTCTCTCCATGCCAAACAAGTGGCTGTTATGAAAACACAGATAGTGGGGTTATGTCACTGGGAGTCCACTTGAGAGACTCAGAGTGGCATTGCCGGGGAGAGATGTCTGAGGGTCCCTGCCCTGCTGACCAGGGAGGAAGGCAGATTGTGGACCCTGGTCTCCCTCGTGGATCAGGATGGACACCTGTGACCCCAAAGTTGTCCCTGTGGGACGAGCTTCCTTGGTCAGATCAGTGCAGCTTCCAAAGGTGTGTAGCACTGAGTCTCTGGATGTGAATTGTTCCCGTTATTACTCCAGCTTTGTCCCAGCTACCCGGGAGGCTAAGGTATGCCCAGGTGAGGTCCAGATAAAGTACAAAGGACAAAATGGTGATGCCGGCAAAATCTGGGCCTCAAATCCCCATGTGCCTCCTTCTGAAATCTTTTTGTGAAACATTGGAAATATTAAAGTTTGTGCCGTGTTTAAGCTTTGCAGGCCACAGAGCAACAAAGAGATCCCTGGACTCAGAGTCTGGGACCTCTGCCTAGTCCTGGCCCCAGAACCTGGGGGAAGCCTGTGGAACAAAAGGCCTGGGCTGGACTCAGGTTCTCATGCCACAGAGATTTGCTGCAGACTGTGTGTGCCACGCTGGTTTAGGCTGAGGGGGCTGGTGGTATATAGGATTCCTGTCTTATAGATCGTACGTTTAAGGGCTGTCCGGAGGTTGTTAAGGCCCTTCCAGCCTTAACTCTCTCCCCTCTGAGTGTCCTTAGTTCTCCCTGCAGTGACTCTGCTGTCATCACCCACCTCCATTCGGATTAAAGTGTCTGAGTACATGTATGAATCTGGTCTCCCCTGTGGAGCCCTGACCAGGCATGTTGGGAGGAGGGAATGAACAGCTGCCTTCCTCCCCTGCCGGACGTGTTGACTGGCTCCGTGGCAGCAGTGGCCAGGCCTGGGGCATGTCCACATGTGTGTCTGTCTCACCAGGACTGCAGGATCCTCCTGTCTGTCGAGCCCACGGACCAAGGCTGCTACCCCCTGAATAACCGTCTCTTCTGCAAGCCATGCCACGTGAAACGGAGCGCCGCGGGGTGCTGCTGAGAACACCCGCTAGCGTCAGGCCAGCCAGCAGCCTGCTAGCCCCGGCTGGGCCCCTTCCCCGACTCTTGGGGTTCCCTTCCTGACCTGCTCTTGCTCACTCTCCTTCTGAGCCTCGGGGGGGACTAGCCTGCAGCTCTGCCCAGCAAGTCTAGGACACAGAGGGCTCAGCGTTCTCCAGATCAGAGCTGGGCAGCAAGTGGACAGTGCCCCCTAGACCTTTAGCTTCACTTCTACACCCTGGGCAGCCAGTGACTCCTGGACTACGAGGGTCACACCTGGATTTCTCTGCTGGCCCCAACCCATTTCCAGGGCCGAGCTGGGGCAAATCTGCAGGTGGCACCTGGGTCCCCAAGCACTGCCTCTTTAGCTGTCTAGTAGGGTGCTGAGACCAGCTCTGGCTTGTTGGGCTGAGCTGTTTGAGGAAAACTCCAAAGTCCTTTAAAAAGTGCTTTTTGAAATGTTTAAATAATGGGAAACCTGGGTGGTGCCTGTGGTTCAGTGAGTAGGGCGCCAGCCCCATATACTGAGGGTGGCGGGTTTGAACCAGGCCCTGGCCAAACTTAAGTGATGGGAAACAACACTCTTTGGATTTTGAGGGGAGAAAAATCTTAATAGCAAACATCTCCCCTGGGTTCATACATGTATAAGAATGTGACCTGGTGATGGTACAGCCACAGACTTCCACCTCTGGGATGTGTCATGCTGAAGCAGGGCTGGGACCTGGGCCCAGGAGGACACGGTGGTCCCCAGACACCTGAGGACATTAGCACTCCTTCACCTCGTCTTCTGGCACCTCCTCCTTTGTGCCACAGTGAGTCAGCAGACACAGAATGAGTGCCTACTGTATGCACGGGAGAGAGGGTGCAAACATTTCTCCAGGAAAGGGCCAGGGCAGGTGTGTCCCCTCAGCACACTGCTTGTGCCCCCCACGGCCCACTTGGGCCTTCCAGCTCTGGCTGCCCTGCAACCACTGTCTCCACAAGACTGCCCCTAGAAGATTCTCCTTCCCTTTGAAGAAGAACCACTTTTTTTTTGAGACAGGAGCCTCCAGCTGTCCCCCTAGGGTAGAGTGCTGTGGCATCACAGCTCACAGCAACCTCCAACTCCTGGGCTCAAGCGAGTCTCCTGCCTCCGCCTCCCAAGTAGCTGGGACCACAGGCGCCTGGCTATTTTTTGGTTGCAGCCATCATTGTTTGGTGGGCCTGGGCTGGATTCGAACTCACCACCTTGAGTGTACGTAGCTGGTGCCTTAGTCAATGGAGCCACAGGCGCCGAGCCAGAAGAACCACTTTTATGGCTTCATAACTAAGACATTTTGTAGGGCATGGGCAGATTAAACGAAATGTGCTTTTTTCCCTGGGGCCTGCTCCATGCACCACGTGCTCCTGGGAGAACTTGCAGGTTCTAAGCCCTGAGCAAGTTTCTGTGTAGGACCCCTTGGGGGCTTCTCGCCCTGAGCTTAGAGCAGCCCGCCCCACACCAGCTCTCAAGCTCCTCCACAGTTTCTCTCACAACCAAAGACCTTCTGTTCCATAATTTCATTTGAGTCCATGCGCTGTTTTGTTTCCTTCCAACTTCAGCCCTGTGATGAGCTGTGAATCCGTGCAGCCGCACGCCCATATACTGCCGATATACTAGTTAGGTTTTTTTCTTCTTACTCGCGAAAATAAATGTGTAACTGTTAGAAGCATGTCTGTATTCTAAGATCCCCCACAGGTAGACGCTGGCCTTGGGTAATAGCCCTGGGACATGTTTATTGGGAATCTGGGGGCTGGGGCTCTTTGACAGATGAACGAGCTCATTTCTCTTCTCCTGCCCCGTCACTCCCCAGGTAGGTGTCTCCCGGGCATGTGGGGTGGAGGCTTTGCTGCAGGGGGCTCTCCAGGGCCACCAAGTCCTCCAGGAGAATCAACACGCACCCCAGGGCATGTTCTCTGCTTGCTGTGCGCTCAGCACAGGCTGACCCCTGGGCTGGCCCCGGGTGAGGGAGGCCCCAGAGAGGATGTGTGGCAGGAAAGAGCCCTGGGCTTGTGGTGATGACTCAGGTCTCAGACCTGCCTCTACTCACACATGGACAGTTAGTAACCATCTCAGCCTCATCGTCCTTTCCGTGAACTGGGAACAATACTAATTTGTGTCACTGGGTTGCTATGATGGAAGTGTCGGGCTCAGGACGTGCCCAGCTCATGAGTCAAGATTGTCTAATGATCACTCTCTGGTTGAGTCGATACCCTTCAGTCAGACCACCAGGGACTCGCCCACAGTCAACAAAGTTGGGCTCATTATGCCTCTGGCAGCAAGGAGTGTCCCACCGCCCTGAGGAGGACTCCTGGTGGACATTGGAAGGTATTCACGGAACCTGGCTGGTATTCAAGGGTGGGTTTGAGGACGTGGGATAGCTCCGGATGCCTGCTGTCAGGAAGCAGGTGATCCTATAGATGGGTGGCTGAAATCCTTCATATCTGGGCTGCAGTGCTGCAGCTGTGATTTGGGAGGGACATGGCAGTGGCTCAGGACACAGGGACATCAGTCATTTGTGCTGATGGCCCAGAGATGCAGTGCTCAGAACAGCTGCTGAATGGTGTTGCTTTTGACCTTGACTCACTTCCTTATTGTCACACAGTGACCTTGCCCAGTGTGAGTGTAATTTCATTTCTGTTCTGTGATTGGAGCACATAGCACACCCAGCCATGAGGACCAGACCAGCTCCCAGCTCTCAGGAGCCACTTCTCTGTCACCAAGTTTGGTGGGTTTGGTTTTTCCTATCATTAAAATGAACCTAGTGGGTGGCGCCTGTGGCTCAAAGGAGTAAGGTGCCAGCCCCATGTGCTGGAGGTGGTGGGTTCAAACCCAGCCCCAGCCAAAAAAAAAATAATAATAATAAAATAAAATGCCATGAACCCAGTGGCCAGGAGTGGGGTGACTTACACCTGGAATCCCAGCACTTTGGGAGGCTGAGGCAGGGAGGATTGCTTACTTAGGTCAGGAGTTAAAGACCATCCTGGGCAATATAACAAGACCCTGTCTCTAGTAAACAAAACAAAACCAAAACACAAAGTAACCTTGTGTCGTGATTCCTAGCTTACCAGTATGTTTGTTGTGTTGGGGTGAGGGTTATCAGGATACAAAGCTGGGAGATGCCTTTGTCATTCAGACTGCACATGTATAAATCATTCCACATGGGGATGTTTCTAGGGAGCTCTCTGCAGTGAGTTTATTTACCTCCGTCCTGTCCCTCACCAGCCATCATTCCTCTTCCTTCCTCATCTCCACTCTTACTTGGAAGGCTCCTGTCAAGTGCTAGGCACAGACAGAGTGCCCTGGGCACAGGTGCTTTCCCTTGCCTTTGGGTGTAGGCTGTAGGCAGAGATAAAACATACTGTGTGGCCTTAAGGAGATATTTCTTTCTTTTTCTTTCCTTTTTTATTGAGACAGAACCTTAAGCTATTGCCCTGGGTAGAGTGCTGTGGCATCGCAGTTCACAGCAACCTCCAATCCTGGGCTTAAGCGATTCTCTTGCCTCAGCCTCCCAAGCAGCTGGGACTACAGGCGCCCGCCACAACGCCTAGTCTCTTTTTTTTTTGAGACAGTCTCACTTTGTCACCCTCGATAGAGTGCTCTGGCGTCACAGCTCACAGCAACCTCAAACTCTTGGGCTCAAGCAATTTTCTTGTCTCAGCCTCCCGAGTAGCTGGGACAACAGGCACCCACCACAACACCTGGCTATTTTCTTTAGAGGCGGGGTCTCACTCTTGCTCTGGCTCAGGCTGATCTTGAACCTGTGAGCTCAGGCAATCCACTCACCTCAGCCTCTCAGAGTGCTGGGATTACAGGTGTGAGCCAACCAAAGGTTTTGAGGGTAATTTTTTTGTTAGGTGTATTTTACCACAATTAAAATGTAAACATATGACCATATGACCTAAACTAGGTGCTGAGAGACAGGAAGGTGAAGTGCTATAGAAGTCCTGAAAAGGGGGACTGTCCCTGCCAGGGATCCTAGAAAGACTGGTCACTGCCGGCCATTGCACCCAGTCTCCCTAAAGGCAAGTGCGCACACAGCCACTAGAGGGCAGCATGGACCAGAGAATCGGGAGCCGAGCCCGGGCTCAACCGTTTCAGCCCTTTCCCCGGCCCTCAGCTTCTCCAAACACAAGAGCAAGGATCATTCCCGCCTGCCCATGGCACCAGGCTGCAGCGAGGCTGAGAAGAGATAATATGTTGCAAAACTAGAAAGTGAGCAATGTGGCCATGGAACTGCCGCAACTCTCCCGGGGACGTGGCCTCTTGGAGGGAGACCTACGCCAGGAGACCTCATTGACCCAAACTCCCATCTACTAGGAGGGGCCCCTCGGAAGCCCCCATGCAACTGCTGTACAGTTCCATACCTGGGAAGCTGTAGAAACGGTCAGAAACGGAACAAAGGAAAGCCTGGAGTTACTGCCCCGCCCCCAAGCCTTAGGTCACTCTGCCCGCAGGGCTCCCTTGAGACTACACCGGGGTGGCAGCGGAGGTGTAAACTGTCCCCAGCAGGTGCCAGCCCCTGCAGGGCAACCAGATGCTATCTCTTCCGGCTGGGGACACAAAAGGGGGGAAAAGGGAATTAATGGAGGGCAGGCAGGGATGCAGATGGGGAGGGCGGAGAAGGCTGGGCTGGTAAGGAAGAATTCCAGGCACGCCAGGGCATTTTCAAAGAAATGTTCTTCTTGGGGCGGGGCCTGTGGCTCAAAGGAATAGGGCTCCAGCTCCATATGCCGGAGGTGGCGGGTTCAAACCCAGCCCCGGCCAAAAACTGCAACAAAAAGAAAAAAAAAATGTTCTTCTTAGTTGGACACACAGTTAACACGAAATCATCCATGAAGTAGGTAATATTAATAGCCCTGATTCACAGTCAAGGAAGCTGTGCCTCAGAGAGGTGGTATAATGGCCCAAGGCTGCACAGCAGAGTCAGGATCAAAGTGAAAACTATAGGCTGCCACTACAGACCCATTTCAGAAACACCCACATTCTGGAATGTTCCAGAACCCATCATGTAACACAAATGCCAAAATCCAGCTGGAAAAATGCTTCATGTTGTGAGCCCTGCTTCTCAAGCCAGAAAAGACCTTGCCTCCATGCAAATCAAGCTATTAATAATTCTTGGAGAATGGTCATCAGGTTAAGAGACTACGAGTGTACCCTTCTCATGACCTTCCTTCTGCAGGGAAAAAAAAATGTGTATGCTTCAGCGGAAAACTATGCACTGTCCATACACCGCTCTCTCCCTCCCTGGTTGCCAGATTCTAGCCTTTTCTTATCTTGGAGCTGTTTTACAGCTCTGTAAATTATAGATGAATGATAAATCCGCTCCTGTCTGGCAAAGTCTCCCTTTCACCCCCCTTGAGGAAAAACTGGTTTCTCCTCCCTTTGCACAGGCATTTCAATATTCCTGTCCTGTAATAAT